GCCTATCAGGGCGTTGAAGCCGGCAGTCCGGGCGCGGGTATGGAGGGGCCGTCTAGCCAACGTCCTCTCATACCCTTGTGAGGGGGGATAGTTCCCTCGCGAACTCCAGCCTGGGGCCAGGGTGAGCGACCGAAAGGATCGGCACGCGCCCTGACTCTGGGGCGAGTATAAAACTTTAGCATAATAGTGGGCCTGGCCGTCTCCAGGGACTTTTTCTGTAAATTCACTGGTTGGGATAGGGGTGGCACCCCAACAAACGGCATCTCCGCTTCCCAGCCCTTTATTAGGGCAAGTCTAACCCCGGGATAGATCCCCCACTGAGGTGGGGGTCCCATAATGGGCGAACGGGAAGATAACTATTATATGCATCATGAATTCCACCACAAACATAAAAAAGACGAAAGGAGGAAATACAGGGGTAAGTGGCATAAAGGCTGCTAAGGGAGCAGACAAAGGCACGTCTGCCTCGACGAAAGGAGAGGTCCGAAGGGCCCCGCGAAAAAGAACGAGAGGGGGAACAGCGCAGGATTCCCAGGAACCGGGAACGTCCTATGTCGAGAAGAAAACAGTGGACAAGGGGGTGCTGGAAGGCTCGGACACGGAGGTAAACATCACTGAGGTGTCAAGTGAGTCGGACAGCGAGGGGAGCTTTGTGCCAGCCAAGATAAGGAAGAGGGGAAGACCTCCCACAACGGGTGTCCACCTCATGGCGCAGAAGAGGCAAGAGCATAGGAAGGAGATCAGAAAGCTCCAAGAGGAGAAGAGAGCCCTTATGGAGATACTGGATCCTAGGGTTCTCCCACGGTCACGCATGCGGGATACAACGCCCGAGAGGGAACTAAATCGACAGTTTCTGGACATGACCGCGGAAAGGATTGCATCAAATATGTATGAGAGCATCGACGTGGTGGAGAAGGTTGCTAGGCGATCGTCACACTTAAAGGGTACGTTCGTGAAAGCGCTCGTAAATTCATCGAACACCCTTAGAGCAGCGGTGATGGCCTTTGTGCGAAAGGCCACGGTCTCTCGGGAAGGGACCGCAACTCACGAAGAGGAAGATGTGAGCAGAGGTCTCCGGGAGAAAGTGAGGGAACTCGAAAACCAACTGGCAGAGGCGGAATGTAAGAAGGTCCAGGAGGAAGCCGAGAAAAACAAGTCCAGGCCCGGACAAAGCGACGAGGGGATGGAGCTAGACGCGGAGGAGTTGGAAACTCCTCCCCCACTGGCCCCCGTGACCACCACCTTCAAGAAACCGGTGGTGGTGATCAAAAGAATGGAGCCCTTCAAAGGAGCGGTGAAGGTTCTCCGCCCCGAAGTACGGGGGCGAACAAAGGAAATAGAGGAGGACCGAGAGGAGGCTATGAGCGGTGCAAGGCGGGTGATGGAGGGGATCTCCATCGATACCATCGCGAAGGAAGAAGACCCCACACTTATGCGCGCAAAGCTGGAAGACATAATACTTCGCTGTCAGGGAGTGTTATCCAGACTCCCGGTCAAGGAGGGCAAGGGCGAGGGGAAGGTGGCAGACCGCGCTGTCCCCCGACTAACCCCCCCTGACAAAGGGAGGGGGGGGTCGCGGGGTAGGGCGGAAAGAACCAAAGGAGCTTCGACGAAGCCAGATAATAAGGAGATGCCGAAACAACAAAGAACGTCGAGGCAGATGCAGGCAAAGGTTCCACAGAAGGAGGAACAACCAAAGGCGGTGAAGAAAGCAGACCCCCCGCAACGGAGAGAAACATATGCGGAAGCTGCCAAGAAGCCGGCGAGGAGGACACAACCTGAGGTGGGGAAAAGGGCACCCTCTCAAGGACCCAAAGGGCGTAAAGAAGGAAAGAACGCCCCCAGGAAAGGCGAAGCTGAGACCCAACCAGCGGCGGACAAGAGGAGTCCCAAACAAGCGAAACGACGGACTCCAAGAAGCGAGGCGGTGGCTATCTCATTCCCTGCGGGAGAATTCGCGCAGGGAATGAGAGAAATTAGGTCCAAAATTGACTTGGACAAATTGGGGATCGGCCCTCTGAAACAGAGGAAGGCCCTAACCGGGGCCCTAATCCTCGAAGTGGCAGGGGAAAAGAAGACGGAGAAAGCAAACCTGCTAGCTGAACAAATACGTAAAGCAGTAGGCAACAAGGAGGGAGTCCGGGTCATGAGACCGTCCAAAATGGGGGAAATCCGCATTAAAGATTTAGACGAGTCGGTGACTCAGGAGGAGCTCCAAGAGGTAGTCGCGAAAGCTGGAGAATGCGACAAGACGGAGGTCAAAGTGGGACAGCTAAAGACGGCCCCAGGGGGCATGATCACCGTCTGGGTGCAATGCCCACTGGCTGTGGCCAAAAAAGTGGCCGAGAAGAGAAGAGTTAGGGTGGGATGGGCGTCGGCAAGAGTCGAACTGCTTGACGCTCGCCCACTCGTATGCTTCCGCTGCCTAGAGCGGGGGCATGTAAGGCAGCAATGCCGGAATCCTGTAGACAGGAGCGGAACCTGCTACAGGTGCGGGCAGGAGGGGCACAAGGCCCAAGAGTGCACAGCTGTCCCGCAATGCTCGGTATGCGTATCGAGAGGACTGCCAGCCAAACATAAAGCTGGCGGAGCAGCCTGCCCCCCGCTATCAAAAAAGGCCGAAAAGAAGGCAAGACAGGCGGGTAGGCAGAAATCCGGAGGGGGAGAACACAAGGGGGTCAGGAAAGAAGTCAAAACAGCCGAGCAGGCTATGGAGACGGAACCCCTGGCTGAGGTGCAACAGAGAGCCGGACCAGCGGCAATCATAGGTGGAGAAGGCCAGGAGGAGGCCGAAAGGGCGTCGCTTTCAACGTGTTGAAAGTGATGCAGGCGAATGTGGCCCGCTCACGCCAGGCGCAAGACGTTTTCTTGCACAGCCTGGCGGAGAGGAACTGCGGGCTAGGTATAGCCTCCGAGCCGAACAGGGTGCCCAAACACCCATGCTGGGCGGGCAGCTCGGATGGCTCGGTGGCTGTAACTTGGAGGAGGACGAAGGAGAGGCACATTCCGACGTCGAAAATTGGCGGCGGTGAGGGATGGGTTGCGGTGAGATGGGGACCACTAGTGGTCATAGGTGTGTACCTGCGGCCCAGTCTCTCCCGCCGAGAACTTGAAGATAGGCTCGACGACCTGGAGAACCAGATCGCCGGACTGTTGCCGGCCCCCATTCTGGTCGCCGGGGACTTTAACGCCAAATCGGCGATGTGGGGTTCCCGGCGGCCGGACGTCAAGGGGGGCGAGGTGGTTGAGTGGGCGGCGCGCTTGGGGCTCCATCTCCTCAATAGAGGGGATAGGAGCACGTGTGTGCGGGCGCAGGGGGAATCCGTGATAGACTTATCATGGGTTTCCCCTGCTGCCGCGAGGTGGGCAGTCTCTTGGCGAGTGGCGGAGGAGAATGACATCCTGTCCGACCACCTGCCAATAGAAATGGAATTCCGAACGAAAAAAGACGGAGCCACGGGTAGGGAGGGACCGCGAAGATGGGTAACAGCGAAACTGGACCCGGACAGGTTACAGGCGTCGCTCGCGACGGCTAATTGGGGACGCAGGTCGGAGTGCGGGAACATAGAGGAGGAGGCAGCTTGGCTCCGGGGTGTAATGACAACGGCGTGCGACAGCGCTATGCCCCGGGCCAAGTTCGTGCCGAGAAGAAAAGCCTACTGGTGGACCGAGGAGATCTCAGAACTGAGAAAAGCCTCGGTCCGGGTCAGGAGGATGCTGCAGAGGGAGCGGAGAAGAAACGGGCCGTCCGCGTATGCGGAGGAACTAAAAGAACTCTACAGAGAGCGACGGGCGGAGTTTCGTACAGCGGTTAACAGGGCAAAGGAGGCTGCATGGGAGGAGCTTGTCAGCACCCTTGACGAGGATCCGTGGGGGCGTCCCTACAAGCTAGTTATGAACAGGCTAAACAGCGGGGCGCCCCCAACGGTGGAGACTCTGGACCCAGATTTCCTGGAGGAGGTAGTGTCCACCCTGTTCCCGGAGAGTGGGGAGGAGGAGAATAGGGGGGATCATTTCGCGCAGGAAGAGCGAGAAGAGGAGGAAGTACCAGAGGTCTCGGAGGCCGAGCTGCTCAGAGTGGCAAAAAAGCTCAAAGCAGGCAAGGCCCCGGGACCGGATGGTGTTCCAGCAGACATATGGAAGATAGCGATGGGGGAAATGTCCGAGAGACTAAGGACACTGTTCACGGCATGCCTACGGGAGGGAAAATTCCCAGACATCTGGAAGGAGGCGAGGTTGGTCTTGCTCCCCAAGGAGGGTAAGCCGCCAGACGCCCCATCCAGCTATAGACCCATATGTCTGCTGGATGAGGCTGGTAAGATGCTAGAGAGAGTAGTGGCCAACAGGCTGGTGAGAAGCCTTGAGAATGGAGAAGGCCACGGGCTGTCTAACAGACAGTTTGGGTTCAGAGAGGGACGGTCGACAGTAGACGCGATTAAGTGTCTAAAGTCCCTCTCTGACCAAATGATGGGGGAGGGAGAGGTAGTTTTGGCGGTGGCATTGGACATTGCGAACGCCTTTAACTCCCTCCCCCATGTTGAGATTAGGAGAGCGATGGAAAGCATGGGGGTCCCTGGTTATCTAAAAAGGATAATCAGGGACTACCTAGATGGTCGGAGAATTACCTGCAGAGACAGGGAGTATGCGAGCAGGGAATGGCAGGCGGCGTGCGGCGTCCCACAGGGATCGGTATTGGGGCCGATCCTGTGGGACGTTGCGTACAATAGGGTATTAGATGCGGCCCTTCCCACTGGCTGCACAACCATTTGCTATGCGGATGACACTCTGCTGGTAGCCAGTGGGAGGGGATGGGAGGAGGCGATTGCAGTGGCAAACGTCGCCATTGACTGTGTAGTGAGGGCGATTGAAGCCCTCGGACTTAGAGTGGCGGCAGGCAAAACAGAGGCCGTCTTTATGCATGACGGGTCGCTGGGGCAGCCGCCAGCGTCGTGGATCCGAGTGGGGGACGCCCGCGTCCAGGTGGGGGCCCAGATCAAGTATCTGGGCCTCCAAGTCGATGGAAGGTGGAGGTTTGGGGAGCACTTCAGCCGGCTGACGCCCAGGTTGGACAAGGCAGCGAGTGCCTTATCGCGCTTGATGCCCAACCTGGGCGGCCCGCGTGGGAAAGTCAGAAGACTATATGCAAACGTCATCAGCTCAATTGCATTATATGGAGCCCCGGTGTGGTCGACCGCCCTGACGGGAGACAAAAAAGCCATTGCGGTGCTGAACAGGACTCAGCGCCGCATGGCAATCAGGGCGATCAGGGGCTATAGGACGATTTCCCACGCGGCAGCCACGTTGATGGCCGGGATGCCCCCTATTGAAATGAACGCCCGCGCACACGCCCGAGTGTATGAGCGAGTGGCGGAGCGAAGGGCAAGGGGGATCCCGGTGCCCAAGAGGGGGAGGAGGCTCCTCAGCCTCCGCATCAAGAGGGAAGTGAGGGAGGAGTGGCGGGCATGGTTGGCAGACCCAAATCGGGCGGGCCAGAGGACGGTCCGGGCCATCCTCCCTCACTTAGATGCTTGGATAGACCGAGCATGGACGCGGGCGTCGTATAGAACGACGCAGGTACTCACCGGGCACGGATGCTTCGGTGAGTACCTGCAGAGGATTCAGAAAGAGCCGGATCCACGGTGCTGGCACTGCGATGAGGAAAGGGACACGGCGCAACACACGTTGGACAGTTGCCCAGCGTGGGAAGTGGAGCGCCGTGTCCTCGTAGGAGAAATAGGGGGAGACCTCTCGCTCCCGGCGGTCGTTAAGGCCATTACGGAGCGGGAGGAGGCCTGGGAGGCCTTTGCGGGATTCTGTGAACGCGTGATGACACAGAAGGAACAGGCTGAAAGGGAAAGGAGGGGAGAGGTTAACCTCCTGGACCCTCAGCCCGGAGGAAATGGGAATCAGCGGGGGGGACGAAGAAGACGAACCCCCCGAGGGATCCCGGCGCACCTGCGCAGGTGGTAGGGGGGCATCCCATCAGGAAAGGGAGGCTGGTCCCTCCTGGACACCCCCCATCGTAAGAAGAAGGAGGAAGCCCACTACAAGGGCTACAGCACTAAATAGTGCAAGAGGGAAAGGGGGAATCATGGCGTCCAGGTCCCGCCGTAAGAATAGGCCTGGGGTATCTCCTGCCTGTCGTAAGAGGCGACTAAAAGGAGAATCTCTGCCGGGAAGTCCCACGGGACCCCTGGCGGGCGGGCGTGGGCTGGAGACCCGCGACCCGCCCTCCCCCACAAGCAACCAGGGGGTGCGACGAGGGGCCGGTGGCACCCTCGTCGCAGTAGTAGGAGAAGGCCCTTGTAAGGGCCGGGTCTAACATAAAAGGCCAGAGATGAGCGCGAGACAAAGCGCGGCGCGGGGCTGTCGGGCAGTTATGCGTTCCGATACCTCGGCAGTCCCTTTTTGCGCAGAGAAGACCACCCCCGGTGGTTTTAGTGCGGTAGGCGTCTCCG